GAGCAGATGGGATGGAAGACACTGGAATTATAGTGTCCCTGTAGTTTAGCAACTAACAGGATAACTTTGTAAGTAGGCTACTTTTACATTTTTAGGCAATTTGCTATAGTTGCTATTGCTATTTAAGTTTACTTTTAAATACTATTTAAATACTTCGCCCATTGGTCATATTTTATTTATTTACTGAATACATTGTATAACGCATTATTTGTGAATTAGGCTGAATTAAATTGTAATTAGCCTACATATATGAATTTTTAAATCAGGAGAAACATTTCAAATAAAAACCCATTCGTTCACAGGACCATTATATACCAGTATAAGGACATTTCCTAGACAGTCTTTGGAGCTACATTGTCATTTGGCACATGGCAGTTAATGAATGCAGCGCGAGCAGCGATGAACACGGCAGTCTTCAGTAAGTTTGATCAGCTGCGCTTTGAAGAGAGCGGACAGAACGTGGAGAGAACCAGCAGAAGCTATTTAGAGGTGATTGAAGGACAGCATTCAGATTTACTGACCAGCCACAAAGTGATGGGTGGCACTGAAGCTCTCAAACACAGGAGAAATGGGTATGTATGTGACAGACAAAATGACATGAATGTGCATGAAACATTGTAATTGTGACTGAATGTGATTCACTATAAGTTAATGTAGCGTAGCTATTTTTTCATATTCTACCAGCCCACATAAGTAAATGTATAAATCAACACTGTTCACATACATTTAATAGCGCAAGTATTAAAAATGTCACTGTTATCTCTGTTGTAAATGTAATGTAACAAACCAGTTTTATTCAGCTGGCTGATAATGAGAAGTAGAATGATGAAGATTATTGGATATTGGCAGCAAGTGGTGGTTTGATGTAGGTACATGGTTGTTTCTCCTTTAATTTATAGGAAAGCAGTACAATGTAGCCTAATACATCAACACTTGATGTGAGATATGTTTTACTCTTATTTAAAGGATACTAATATGAGGAAAAGACAGAGATGTGAACCTCAAACCCATACAGTATAAGTAACTGGGTTATATATTTTGACCAGTAGATACATCATATGTGTAAGGTAAAGATACAGGGATGTTACACATGCTTGGTCCACAGTGACATCTGCTGATTGTCTTGGTACTGGATATCCACATCATCTACTGTGATTGGACATCAACTCTTTTCTCTTTTTTTTTAATGGTTCATTAATTTAAGATGCATTGGTCTGCACGTCATTGGTCTCAATTAACACTCATGTAAAATGTTTTTTTTTTATACACTGACAATTTGTGTTAATACAGTGTGGTGGTAGTGGTAAGGATGCTCTGTTCACAGTTTGTCAAAACTAAAGCTTCAAAAAAGCAACTGTATCTGCCATTAAAAGTCAGTTTTTGTCAGCTAGTTTTGCATGAAGGATTACAAAGAATTATTATAAAATCATCAGCAAAAGTAACTGAGGGGGGGGGGGGGGGGGGGGGGGG